TAATCCCCGAAGCCCTAGGATTCTGCGAAAAAAGTCTAGGGGATCCGTAGCCCGTCTGAACTAATCAAATTCAAATACTATTATATTTCTTAGTTATCGAAGAAAAACCTTGGTACGATTACTCGAATTTCGCAATGAATTGTACGTTTTTTCACCTAACGCCCATTTAATTTACAACCCACTGATAAAATTTAGTTATTTCGACTTCATTGCTTGGCTGATATTTTCACAAAATTAAATGAAATAAATGTATGAATACAAGGAAAAATGACCACGGTTCAAAAATATCAAATGACTTAATCTGAGCTTCTAAAAAAAAGATAATTTGCAATTAATTTAACTTAGACATTAATTGAAGTTAAGTTAAGTTAACGATATTTTTTAATTAAATATTTAACTTAATTGAACATGAACTCAATTAAATTAACTTAACTGAGTTAAAAAATAACATTAACTTGCCCAGCCTTGCAAATAATTAGCAATTTCAAGAAAATTAAAGACGTTTTTATTTAAAGAATATACTGACCAAAAAGTATAGAAAACATACTAGAAGATATTTATTTTATTTTCTATTTATTGTCTAATAATTACTCTAATATGTACATACAATTAGTTTAATATCTATTATTATATTAATAATTGATATTAAAATTTCTACAAAGCTTCATTCACTCATTTGATTATTCATGGAATTTTAAATACAATTATTTACCATTGTTTTTAAACTCAAAGAAACCTATCCTAGTGACCCACATAACTTCTGCATCAGCACTTTGCTTTTTTTTTTTTAATTGAAACAAAGGGTTGTAGAGAATACTATAAATATAGAGTGTTTATGAGTCACTTTTCATGTAATGTTATATGTCGAAAGTGGGACTAAAAGCTCTTTTAGATATTCTAGGGAAAGTTAACGAGTACCTATTATGTCACGACCCATCAGTGTTATGAGATTTGCCAGTCAACACTCTTCACTAAATTCGTTGAAATATATTTCTATATTAAGTGTGACACTCTGACACACAGTGACGTACATTCAATGTTCTTATGAAGGAGAAAATTGAATCGTAAACATATTTCTTATACTAATAGCAAACGTCTATTTTTATACCTCTTCGGACGAAAAATTATTGTTTTAGTTATTTCATCATACATGTCAAATACTAAAATTTTACACACGTTAAAATATTCATATTTTCCATATTTTTTATTCTAATCATTTTAAAACGGGATATTTTTTAGTCCTTTTTAATCCCGAACTTTTCTACTGTGCGATAGTACTCAACAGTATTCGGTAACCGAATAATAGAGGCAAATTTTATTTTGATAGTATCTTATTACATTGCGATAATAATAATAATAAATAACAGAAGGTTTAAAAATGGCATTGGTAAATATTCAATAGTAAAAATGATTTCTAGTTACGCTCGAGATAAAATTAGGATTTCTAAGTGGTTTTAGTTTTTCGGAAAAACAAAAGGGTAATTTTCAGCATTTCAAAAATTTCCTTAGTTCATCTCCATAGGTAAATGTATAATAGTATATTTTAATGCTTCTTAAGACTTTTGGTGCACTCTCATTAGCGTTCATAAATAGAAATGAAAAACAAAAATGTACCATCGCGTAGAGATAGTAATTTTTATATTTATATGCTATTTGAAAAAAAAAAAATTATGCTATCTACTGTGGTACACCCGCGTGTTAAATTGTATGAAAAATATGCCATTACCAGTTATTATTTTAATATTGTATAACGTCAAAATGTGTTTTGCTTTAATATATATGTATAGTGAATTTGTGATATTTTTCGTTCTAACAGTTCGTGCCAAATTATTGATGATATCAATTTAATGTGAATTTTAACATACTTTATGCATTGTATCCGTAACGTAAAAACTAATAATACACTTGGCAAAGTGTGTAAGTGTGTTTTACAACGCTCATATATTATAGACGCAAATTCTAGAGTTGCTCCAAGTGCTTAAAACGTTTAATAAATTTTTTATGTTATGGATATTATGTATTTTTATAGTTATTATACTCCTTATAGTTTTTACCTTACTGTTATAATTTTATTTCTATAACTAAAATCAGAGGGTGAAAATATTTTTATTAAAACTATAATAGTTGTATTAGCACAAATTTTCACAATTTTTTTTTGTATGTTCGCAGAATTAAAGGAAGTTGGATGATCCTTAATTGAATTGGTCTGAAGATTGATTCACTAAAAAAAACTATTTACGCAACAACAACTACAAATAAATTATACTTCCAACTTTTCAAGTTGATCAAAATTAACTATCTATTTTTATAATTAACTTTTCAAAATTACAGTAGCTACCTATTTATATAATTCAAAAAACATAAATTATAATTTTTAAGCCATTATTTAAAAAAAATGTTTAGTGTTATTTAACCAATATAAGCGTTAAAAAATAAGATACAATCATTTTCTACTCATGTGTCAACAATTTGTATTCTATTGACTCATGTTAGTGAATGTGTGATCGACCAAATGTTGGTAATCTACACTCATTCGTATTAAAATGAGTTACTTATAATTGTAATTAAAATATGAAATAAAACATAAAACCGGTGTATTATAAATATTTTATTTCTAATACGAAATCGAGTTAAGCCATTGAAATTGGTATACACATACGAATATGTCTAATAATAACACAATTTGAAATTATAGGTAGGTAATAAGTATAGTAAAGTGGTTTATGCGTGGTGCATAAAGTTGAATACATTATGCATATCTTAAAAAAATTAAATGATATTCAATGATGATAATGATTTTTTTTCATTTCAAAAATTGGATAAATTTGTTGAATAATATTTTATAATATTATAATATGGAAACTAAAATATATACACAACTATACTTCATACGTCATTCGTATATTTCATTTTGAAGATAAAATAAGCAGGTTCTCACTATAGTAACCAAATTATTATAATTAAAATTATTTTGATTCTCAATAGTGCTATTAATTATAGCTAAGTAAACATTTTTATTCATCTATTTGGTTGATTTATATATGTAAGTAGATCATGTTCATTATACGTTTGAGAATCGTAAAAAGTTAAACGAGAAACGGTAAATCATATTACGTTATAGCTTCTTTAGTGTAGACGACTATTAGGCATATATTATTCGTGTGTGTTTTGAATGTTACTATATACTATATTTTAATTAGTAATATTAGTAAGCACATCGAAAATTAATCAAAGATTCGTGTCAGTGATAAGTAGGTAATACATTGCAGAATCCGTGCAAGATGTTATAAAAGGAACGTACACCAAGAATTGTTATACTGTCAAGAGAACAGCATTTTTGACACCCATATAAACCCATAGCTTAATACAGTTGTACAAGTATTCGTCGAAGTAACCGAAGTGCTTCATATCGTTCTGACTTCGAAAAACCTTATGGTGAACACCAATGTCCGGAACGTTCATTTCAAAATGGAACTCGTTCATGTTCATTTTTTTCAAATATAAACATGTCCACGTTTAAGTTTTATGAAAGAATCAATGCGTTCATTTGAGATCTCATTTAAATTTTTTATTTTATATTAATGAATCATCTACCTGCATTCTGTATAAATAGGACTTTTGCAAAATGTATTACGTATATTTTATTTTTATTGAAAACCTATATCTGAACATATTATAATCAATATTTATTATTTATGCATATATTTTTAAAATGGTAAAAAAATTGAAACGTACCAGAAATCGTTCAAATTCATTAAAAATAGAAATGTCGTTCATGTTCACGTTCTATTTGAAAAAAGTGTGTGACGTTCACGTACCGTTGCCCAAATATGAACGTGCGTTCGCGAACGACGTTCTTTCCAAACACTGTTGAACACTAGGTGTGATCCTCCATCCGCATTCGATAAGAATGTATCTAGACCAAAGTCATTGATATAAATCACGTTTTGAACTTTCGTGTCTCGTTTGTACACCGGAACGCATTGTACTGCGGGTATATTCGTGAGAGTGTTTACGGACGATACATATGATGTACGCATTTATGTTGTAGACGATGACCATCCGCGATCTAGAACAGAATGTGTGTGATGCAGTCGCTTCGGTCTTTTAATATTTTGTAAGGTATATTTTTTTTATATATGTATATATTTTTTTTGTTACGTTCTCTCTATACTTTTTTTTTTCTTTTTCGCGAGATGTTCCCAAGCAGAACGTACGATTGTTAAAGTATGTGTGTGTGTGTGTGTGTGTGTCGTCTTCGATAGTGCGTATAACGTCTGTGGCGATGTACAGTGTGTGTGTGTGTGTATGTGTGTGTGTGTATGCACCGGTGGTCGGTGTATATTGTCTGAAAAGTTCATTCCCCCTACTAAGCGTAAACACCAATGGAGGAGAATGGCGCGCACGCGCGCACTCGCCCAACAAGTGTGTGTTGCGATTATTTACACACACACGCACTCGAATACGTATACACAAATATATATATATAAACGGTATTCCTCCAAGTACACGTATAAGATAAATATATATATATGTATTATATAGATATAAATATATGAACGTTACTTCTTTATACACGTAAATTTGTGCTGTACGTAGCTGTACAGCAAAAACAAAAAACACCTCCAAGTGCGTACAGTAAGTATGAATATTTAGTGTTTATATTAGACGCTATACACTCGTACACTCCGTGCGCCTACGTCCAAAAGTATAAACGACCAATTTTTATTCGCAAACTCGTGTTCAACAGATATTCGGTAGTTTTGCAAACGATTAACTTAACTCGCGGTTGCATGTACTTCTTCTAAGTGCGCGAATAAACACACGCACCGAGCGCGGTGGTGGCGTTGGCCGATTCCACCGGTGTGTGCGGTGTGTATGTGTACGGCTTACAGGTACGTGCAACAGCAACCTTCGGGAGGAGTGGTGGGCAAAGACCGGTGCCCCGCAACAACACGACGTGATCAGCTGATGCCGCCGCCGCCGCCGCCGCCGCGAGAGACCAACCGTCAGCCGTCGAGGAGGGCTAATGCCATCTTCCGGAGACGACGACTCCGCCGTCGGTCATCAAACACGAGCAGAAAAGCAACGCGCCGCTTCCTGTCAATGCTCCTGTGCGCGACGACGACGACCAGAGAGCATAGTAGTACCGTCTCTATTGCCACCGGTCCGTCCGGAACAACGGGTCATTGATTCGGTCCTCCTCGCAACCGTTGCCGTCACCGCCGCCGTCCAGAAATCGTATCGAAATTCGCAAACACAATTATTATTATTTTCGCGTTGTACCGATCGTCTACGAGATTTAAATAGTAAAAATATATACGCACAACTTAAAGTTTGCATTAAATATATTTATAATTTTTTCTCTCTCTCTCTCTCTCTCTCTCTCTACACCCAAAACCCGCGCATTACAATTATTTTACACCCAACCGACGAACAAGAAACAAATCAATTTCCATTTGTATTATACGTCTGTATACGTCTCGACGTGTGAAATCCTTTTTCCATCCGGCCGGCACCGACGTACGGTTCGCGAGTGTCCACTAACCGTTGACGAAAGTCCAAAGTAAGTTAAAACCATATTATTATTAGTTCTTGGTGGTGGTGGTGGTGTATGTCTTATACTAATTATAGTATGTTGTCTTATAATATTTTAACATCGTACACGTAAAATCGTTGAATAATTTTTTTGTATCGAATCCGAAACGCTCGTCGAATACGCGGCATTTATTCAAATTTATCTTATTATTACTAGTGAATCGTTTCTCATTCGCATAGATCAGTTTATTGTTAAACTTTACGGTTTTAAATTCGCGTCATTTATTCGTACGCATTCACATTATGTTTGAAGGGTTAACGAGGGGTTTTAATTTTACGCGAAAAGAAAAATGTATCTTAACTGTTCTTAATCCGCAATGACCAGGCACAAAATACTCATGGACGCATTTAGTATTTACGTTGCACTTATATATTTATTTATAATGATAATTTCAGTCCGTTAGAAGCAAAAACGGATTAACTGTCTATTCCCATGCATCAATGACTACCATTTCGAGACGGACCGCGCCATGCGGTTGAGGAGACATCAACGACAGTTACACAAGAACAAATACTTGGCAATTTACGCATTTGGTTCCGTTGTTGAACAATATTCGAATTCTCGCTGACACTATAAAAAAATCAGACTTCGAATCCGAGATCGTCAACTATATATCATTATTCGTCGAGAGATTAGGAGGCACATCGATTTCTACAGGTAAATATACAATTTTACCTGCAGTATAATATATTTATAATTATTAATTTTTTTTTTTCAAATTAAACAATTGAATAGTATTTTAATATATATATTTATTAGTTTATTTTATACTATTCGGCATTTACAAGATAACGGTTTAAAGTAACGACAAAACGTATTAATAAAATCGTAAAAATTCATAGTTGAAATTTGATATCGTTACTTTATTAATTATTATTTTTTTTTTTTTTTCTCTTTTTGTAATTCAATACAATATATTATAAAAAATCCTCAGTTATTTTATTTGATATTGCACCAATAGTTAAATTAATTGTCTTTTTTTATTTTTGTAGATATTCGATTGTTACATAAATAATTAATTTCTACTTAACGACGTTTAACGGATAATTTAAATAAGTTTATTTAAAAATTTGCTAAAAATACATAATAAGAAACACGTAAATTATTTTTTTGATAAGCATCACACCATGGAAATTTATTTTAGATGGTCACTTTTAATGACCTTAGTTGCCATAATTGTAGACAGGAGAATGACCTATGGTTGTTTTTTTTACATAATTTGAATTCTTTGCACAAAAAAAAAATATAATTTTTACTATAAAACCTTTACTGTTGTTTACTTCTTAATTATATTTGTCAGTTCTTCAAATTTGCAATGATAATAGATTCCATATTATTTTTAAAAACATAAGAACAGTACAACAATATTATAAATATGACTAAAATTATTAATACTTAATAAGACATAAAGAAAATAATAATATAAAATATAAAATATATTCACGTATTTTTAAAATAATTTTAGATGAATAACACAAGACGTATATAGTATATAAAATAAATAAATAAATAAACATTATAAATGTACGTATTGGTATTATATAAATAAATTTAATAACATCCATCAACATCATCCAAATATCCATATCAAACGAATTATCTACGGTTGATTTTTTTTTATTTTCAATACTTGGTTGACGAGAAAATACAGATATTAATAATGTAAACCAAAATGTCTGTATACAATATGAATAAAATACCATCTTTATTTTATTAAAAAAATTTTCTAGTAACTAAAAAATAATCAATTTCGTTATATTTAATAATTCTTTGCGGCCCGGGTTCATACACCTCGTCAGTCATTGGTTACAAAAATAATAGCTCCCCCGCATGTATACTTTTTAAGATAAGATATAATCTAATAATTATGTAAAACAATAGAGGTACCTACCTGAAATATAGTTGACCGATTAGGTAATACACTATTTATTATTTAATGGAAACATAAGTGTTATTTAATAGTAATTTATTACTCTGGTATCGGTATGTTCTAATTATAAATTAACTTAGTAAAGCAGAAATAAAGTGATGTATTTCATTAGTGTCAACCAATTCACTATTTATATTTACGACACTTATCTTATTTGTTTTTCGTTATCATTCATTAACTTACTTAATGTTTCTTTTATTTTACCAACAAGATATTTATATTATACATTTTGTTAAAGTATAGGTATAACAAATAAAAATGCATTAAAATTATATTTTCTTTAAATATTCAGAATAAACGATTTTAAATTATAAAAATTAAATAATACATTTGTAAATATTTTTTTTTATAATCCTACTATAAATTAATCCTTTTCTGTACATTTTAATTGTTTGTGGTTAAATCTTTTTTACTATTTCATATTTTATTTTTCTATTATATTTTCTAAATTATGTTCGCATTCAATACGAGTACATGAGAAAACAATAAATATGTTTAGTGCAAATTGTACGTATTAATTTTCCAGTAAAAAAAAAAAAGAATTAAGAAAATCTTATAATGATTGTCAACTAAAATAATTTACGTATAATTTAAAAAACGAAAAGTTACATTAAAAAGATATATTTTTTTTTATACTACAAATATAATCAAATAGAAATAAATAATGGATAGTTACAAAATCAAAATGTTTAAAATTTCAAGTAGATTTAAAAATTGAATGAGTACAATTTCGGACCATTCAAATATTGGAGATATGACTCAATATTTCTTATAAAATTATCAAAAAGTTGTTCAATTCGATTAAAAAAAAATAAGGCAAATATATGTTGGAAATTTACTTACTAGAACAATTGTTTTAAAAATGTATTCCATCGTTGTTTTAAATAATAATAAAAGATTTAAATAACAAAAAATAGATACCCCCTGGATAATTTTTATTCGCCTTTACAATTAAAACAATATGAACTGCCATCAAAATAGTATTTACTTTCTAATTACAATTTGAATAATCAAGAACAATATAATAATATACACTTTAATGTGATCTATAATTTAGATTGCACTAGTTTGCACATTTTGAATACGGTTTCGGTGAGCGACAAAATTAATTTAAACTCGTAGATAAAATACATTCGATCACACTGTTTCAATATTTAATTAATTAATTTATCGGTCACCCAATTAACACAATTCGTGTGCACTGGTTAATAATGCATATCTGTATTATTTTTTAATTATAATACTCAATCGAGTACAGGTATTGAATAAGATTTCTCTCGTACTGCGGAGGAAAGTCATGTACTTTATTTAATGACTATATATTATTATGTACCCGTGTGACATCCGCGTTCAGTTATGAATCAATAAACAGTCACCGAGTACAAGATAGATTACGATTTATTTCATAGTGAAGACAAAAACATACAGTGAATGCATTTTACACCGTGTATCAAAAAGGTCTATAATAACAGTCATCGTCTCAATATTATTATATTAAAACTAGTTGAGAGGTTGTAAACGTTATTGTTTAAATAATATAATACCTGCGTTAAGACAATCATCTTTAAAGCATTAAGTGTTTTTTGATCACCTATAAAAAACTATCGTTTTAAATGTTATAAAACTTAAACTTGTATACATTTGTATCGCAATCGTTTGCTATCGAACAGTTATCTTCGAATTTATGGTTGACAATCCAATTCTTGACATCATATTATACTGCAGTTTATTATATATATATAACTTATTACGTTTAAGTCAAAGTATACCTAAGAACTATAGGTTCCGCGGTGTCCCACGAATTAATAGGTTGGCAAATTTTCGAGTTACATTTACGGATTATTTTTTTATACAACATGAATTTGTCTTCGTCATCGGCATCTAGTGATTTAACGACCGGTCACTGAACTATGGTTCAGATATTTTTTTATTTTATTTTTTGTTATATCTACCGGAAAAAACAACTAAAAGCCGTTCCAAATCTAAAATCACGAAAGCCCTAAACGCGCGATCGAAGTGAATTCGTCTCGTTAAATCTTCCAGACCGATATAGTATTTCACGATATAAATCGGTATTCTATCCGAAGCGTACAAAACCGTTGATTAAGCCCCATTCCGTTTAAAGCGTGTTTAATCGCGTTTGTAAAATTCGCAATTGGCATACACGGGCTAAACACGAATTAATTTGTTCAACGAAAAAAATTTCACTAAAAGGGGGTCTTCCGTTGTACCGCCATAGCGGTAGAGTCTATATGCATGCACGCATATTGAAAAACTCGCGGGAGTGTATGTGTGTGTGTGTGTGTGTGTGTGTGTGTGTGTGTGTGTGCGTGGGCGCACTCGTGAATGGTTAATAACAGTTCATTGTCGGTAAAATTAAAAATGCTCGACAAATAAAACGTTAAAAAACACCGAAAAAATACAATGGGAATCGAAAACAGTTGTAAAATGTACATCTGCCATAAGTGTTTCTGTAAAAATAAAAACATCATCCGTCAATAAATTAGCCAGTCAAACATAGTATATATATATGTCCTACGGTGAATAAAAAAAAAAAAAAATCGCGGATTGTATAACGAAAATAAAATGATACAGTAGTGTAATGATGATAGTAATAATAAAATGTTGGGTGTTCGAGAATCTAGTCAAACAGGATTACACGCTGACCGTTATTCACCAACTCATGTCCGTTATTACACACGTAATATCTTACACCGGACGAGAAACAACTATACTCGTTACTTACATATTGGAAATCCTATACGTATATACTGCACGTACGATAATTACAAGACTATATAATAACGTTTAATTATACTCTGCCAGCGACCACGGTCGACGCTGGTCGTGAAATTCAGCGCTGAGATGGAGCCAATGAGAATTTCTTACCATTTTTTTCCGATGCCACTTTTCATCTCCGCACCGCGGAAGTATCCCACTATCATGTGGGCTGCGGAAGACACACGTGCCCCGGGGCGATTGTAAACTCCGCCAGAATATCGGTTAAGATAAAAAGGTAATAAAAGGTCTAATGTAAACTTCGTCAGTTTTTTTTGTGTTTTGTCTGTGAATCCTTTCATAGTCATCTAAGAAATGAATTTTATATAAGTCAACCGAATGTTTATATTTTTAATAAAGTTCTTACCGAAATTCAAACTCATACTTATGTAAAATTAAATGACATATCTCAAGTAAATAAGCTAAAAAATTGGAAATAAAAAAAAATGACAGTGTTACAGGATGCTATAAATAGATACACTAATGGAGTAATACAGACTTAGAATATTTACAAATTGTATCTCATCGTTTTAGTTTATATACACGACATAACTATATATTTTTGAATTCTTAGTTATAACGATTATTTATTATGATTTTTTTACTACGATTTAAATATTTAATGTGAACGATATGATATTATATTATTTTATAATTTATTTTTAATAATATATCATATAAATTTTACACTACTACTTGATTTTCTTCACCGGCGGAGGTTACATGAACCAAATTTCACCTGTTTTTTTTTTTTTTTTTTATTTTTCTGACGGAGTTTACATGTGCCCGTGCCCCGTGCCACCCCGACCGGGTCAAAACTACGGAAACAATAACCATTTCGTAAGGGTACGCGCGACGCGTAAAACCAATGAAAACCGTTGAAATCGAACAATCGAATCCCGACGAATCTCGCGGTGGAAAACGCGCAGCGAAATTCGATGTACGCGCA